GTGATGTTCTGGAGTAGCAAGGAGCTGTTCATTATCAGTCTAGTCAACCACCATCTATGGTCTAAAGATAATGGAGAGGTGGTGGGACAGGGGAGGGTAAATATGAATAATTCCTTCCTTCCTTCCTATAGTCTGGGTCAGTTCTTATGCTCATGCTGGCTGTCTTCTCCAGAGCATGTTCTAAAAGTTGCAATTTCCCCAAGAGAGAAGCAGATAAACAAATTCTCCACAGACCGACTGGAGCCATCTGGTGAGACAGAGAGAAGTTCTTAGTTGACTTGGGGGAAGTAGACAACTTGTCACCCTGGAGTGACTGTCCATCCTGCTTTCAATGTGGGAACTCTATACAGCTGCAACCCTCTGTGACATGGATTTTTTGTGGCACTAGAAGGTGTGACAATTGCCACAACATGGGGTGTACTGTTGGCACTCCACTACCCTAGCCTTCTCTCTTAGAGATTTTCTGTCTTTCTGGGTATGAGGATCCAAGCTGCCGGATTCTGGGTTTCCACACATTTTGATTTAGGGGAAAATCTGACCCTAGTAATTAAGTTGTCATGTAATGGCCTCCTGGGCCTGATTTTTGGGGGACAGGGAACAGATTCTCAACCAAGAGAGTGAATACAGACTGAAACATAACCTGAGAGTTCAGATTGTTTGCTTTTGAGTTGCAGCAAGAATTTCTGGAGGCAGAGGTAGAGCTATGTATAACCCACAGCAAGGGGTGGGGTGGTCTTTCCAACAGGCATGGTATAGGTCTAGAAAGAGGCTTGGACCTGGGCGCAAATTTGTGTACATGAACAGTAAATGCTATATTAATTCAGAGCAAAAGGGGATGGGAATTAGTTGATAAACAACACTCAAAGTTACTGACCAAACATGCACTTTTTCCTTTAAACTAGTGACTTCCCTCATCCTCAAACTGCTGTCACCTCTTCCTCCAAAATGTGTTCACTCTCTTGGTGGAGAAACTGCTCCTTGTCCCCCAAAAATCAGGCCCGGGAGGCCATTACATGACAACTATAATTGCTAGGGTCAAGTTTTCCCCTAAATCAAAATGTGTGGAATCCCAGTGTCCATCAGTTTGGATCCTCATATCCAGAAAGACAGAAAATCTCTGAGAGAAAACAATGAGAACTCCAAGCCCTAATGGGAGTCAAGGAGAAGTGAAGAGGCCTGGGTGTTCTTGGAAGATGTGAGGATCCAGATACTTAGAAGAAGAGCTTGTCAGCAGGACCTCAAGAAGGAGGCCATTGTGGCTTATTCCAACAGGACAAGACCTAAGCAGCAGGATATCTGCAGCACAGGTATGTCTCTTGGCTCCTCATGTACCTCCCAAAGGAGCTTTACCTGTTGTCTTTTGAATTTCTTAAAAGCCCTGCCTTTGTTGCAGTCTTTCTTCTTAGATCTAATAAACTGCATAAATCCCACAACTGGGAATCCAGGCCCTCCAAAGTGGCTCCTACACACCTTTCATCATATCTCTGAAATGAGGTACCAGGAACTGAGCTGAGTATCTCACTGACTCCTCAACCAACTGATTGCAGCTTCTGCAGTGGTGCTTAGATCACCCCTTTGCCTGATCCAGCAGGATTTGTCTATACAAAAGCTGAGTTTCTGGACTTTCTAGCTGGTTCACAAATCACCACAGCCATTACAGCCTTCACTTACAATGTCAGAGGGAATTACATGAAACAGGAAAGATTTGTGGTTACAGACTCAGGCTCCTTCAATCTTAGCCTTGCTCTCTTCTGGATGTGAAAGCTGATTACTTCTGTTTTATGTCTTAGTTTCCTCTTCCATGGAGCAATAATAGCTAGAGAACCTCCCTCTTGAAGTTGTTGTGGGAAGAAAGTTACTGCATAGGTTGAGTTTAGAATCTTGCAGGGACAGACTCCACTGTCTAAGCATCAGCTGTTACTGTTTTGTGGATGGGCTAGTTGGTGTCTTACTTCCTTCCAGCATAGAGAATTTGAGTGACTTGCCCAAAGGTCATGCCAACCCCCATGCTGCAGAAGCTCTTCCCCTCAGGCCCATAATATACTGCCCCCCAAACCCCCAGATCCTGCTTAGTGTCAGATTTTCTGCCATCCCTGGGGCTCTACACTTCTATCAAGCCCTTCGTAAGACTCCCAGGTATCTTCCTGTGCTAAGGGCTCTGAGGACCAGCAGCATGCACAAGCAAGACTTGAGCCTAGAGTCCCTGTGGAGAAATGACCTATGGCATTTCCGTAGGGTCAGGCCTGGACGCAACCCTATGTCTTTTCCTCTTCTCTGTTCTTTGTAGAAAGACACACTTTTGATTCACTGTTAACCCTGCTAGTGGTGTAGCCAACACATTAGCCCAGCTTGTTTCTAGTGGGAAGTGCTGAAAGGTAAGATCCCCAAAGAAAAGGTGAAGGATTCTTTTTCACTTTGAGTTAATGTAATGGCCTTCCAGGCCTTATTTTTGGGGGGACAGGAGGCACTCCTAATTCTTTCTAAGTGAAGTAACTTAAATTTCAAATGAAAAAAGATGTGTGTGTGTTTGTGTGTGTGTGGTGTTTGTGTGGTACTGGGGATTAAGCCCAGGGCTTTTCAACTAAGCTACAACCCCAGTCCTTTAAAAAGGTGTGTGTGTGTGTGTGTGTGTGTGTTTGTGTGTGTGTGGTGTTTGTGTGGTACTGGGGATTAAGCCCAGGGCTTTTCAACTAAGCTACAACCCCAGTCCTTTTAAAAAATTTTATTTTGAGACAGTCTTGATAAGTTGTTAAATTGCCCAGGTTGAGCTTGAATTTGTGATACACCTGCTTCAGCCTTACAGAGTGCAAGGAATTTTAAGTGTCTCTAAAAGTCTGTATGAGGGACAGTTTCTCTTTGCATCTAACAGTCTTTACATTTCCCCCTCAATACCTAATAAGGTACAGAAAAATAAAAACTGAAGACAACAACAGAAACCAAGATGGCAGTAACTCAACTGTCAGTGAAATTTTTACCAACTCTGTAAAACACCCAGAGAATTGGATCTGGATTTGAGCAAGCAGTGGGCAGACTCAGGCAGAGGGTCATCCTACAGAATGAAAATCCTCTTCTACTCAGGCTGCCAAGGTCAGGAAGACAGGGCAAGACTAGAGAGATGTTACAAAATATAGGAAAATATGATGACAAAATACAACCTATACTCTTGGACTGGATCCCAGCCAGAGAGGAGACGGTATTATAGAGATGGCTGGAGGAATCTGGAGAGGTCTGGTGGCTGGAAGATGGTGTTGTACCAATGCTGAATTCCTGGTTTGGAAGGCTGCATTGTGGTTGTTTAGAAGTGGCCTTGTTTAAGAGGAAATACCTACTGGACTATTTAGGGAAACATCATGTCTGCAACTTAAATACTTTAGAAAAAGAATAGTTGAGCAGGACACTATGGAGTGTGCCTGTATTCCCAGGGACCTGTGAAATTAAGGCAGGAGGATCACTTGAGCCCTTGCATTCCATCCGAGCTTGGGCACCATAGCAAGACCTTGTCCTGAAAATACAAATAAATACAAGGGCCTGGGAATTTAGCTCACTGTCGCCGTGCCTGCCTGGTAAGCACAAGGTCCTGAGTTCAATCCCGGGTACAAAAAAAAAAAAAAAAAAAAAAAAAAAAAAAAAAAAAAAAAAATGATGCAAATATTTTGGAAAAAGAATAACGAAAGAGTCATTAAGAGAAGGAAGGTGTTGGAATAAACGTGAAAAAGTCAACAAGGAAAGAATGAAGTAAAGGGAACACTGCAGCTTTTTATTACTGTTGCAGCTTTTTTTATTTCAAATTGAATAAAAAATGTGTGCGACCATCACTTTTTTCTGAATAAATGTATATATGTATATGTGTACATGCTCACACATATATCAAGAAACTCATGCCCTAATTCAGACTCAACTCAGACTCAATTAGAATTTTGACGATTGTTACCCTACCACGTGGATGAAAAAAACAAAACAAAACAACCGCCTGTGATTCCAGAGCCCAGGAAAACTGAGCCCAACGGAGGTGGTGCTCCAAAGTGCGCTGTAACCGCCGGCGGCTGGTTTTCTGACTGCCCGCCGGGCCTCCGAGGTGGGGACCGCTTAGCAGCAGCG